CATAGAGATCGATCATAAATACTTGTAATGATTATAACAAATGGTGCTCTGACAAATGTAAGTTATTCTTTACCTTGAGAAGCTTTTTATTTTTGTTTACTTCACATTGCTTTTTAGCTAATTCTTTTCCTTTTTTTTTATATCTTGTCGAGCAGTGTGGAGCGTCTATTGCTCAAACAACGGCTATTGACCAAAAATTGCTCATATTTCCACCATAAATGTTGATTGGGAGAACCTTTAATGATTAAATGAGTGGTGCTTCAATAGATGTAAGTTATTCTATTTCACTACAAAAAAAAACAGCATTTAGCGACTGACGAAATCCGTCACTAATCTATGATTTTCCGTCGCTAAGCCGGATTTGCAATAGATTTGCGACGGATTTTTGGCTGTTGCTATTTCGCTCGTTAGTAATCTCTTAGCGACGAAAAATGAGTTTCGTCGCAAGTTTAGCGACGTATTAGAGACGAATGATATTCGTCGCCATTTGTTAGTGACGTACTGATCCGTCATTATACTTATATAGTTCGTTGCTAATTTCATAATTAATTTCGTCATTTCAAATAAATTCGCGACAAAATTTATGTCACTAAAATGTTTCGTTGCTAATCTGTCGCCAATATTTTTTTATAGCAACGACCAAATCATCATTAAATTTGTTGCTAATAATTTTCTTGTAAAATAAATTAAATAACAATTACTAAATACCTCTAAATACAAACATTCATATAAAATAATATTTAGAGGGTTCAAAATCTATAGATAGCAAAATCTAAATCACATACTTTTGGTGGAAAACATCAAAAGCAATTTGTCAACTATTCTCAAGAGAACCTACATTCATCAACTATTGTTAGCGCACAATTTATACCTTTTAAAAAGACAGACAACATAAAAATAGAAGACTAATCAATGGGAGTGAGCACTTGATGTACCCGCTCCTTCATAACCGGAAGAAAATGATTAGTAAGGGCAGAAATCATTTGCTTTACAAACACATCCATATTTCTTGTCGATGTTGATTGAGAAACTGAAGGTTCTACAAATGACGAGGCACAAAGATTCTACCCGTAGTAAGTTCTTGCTTCAGATTCAAGACCGTATATTCTTCGCTCTTTTCTCCCTCGGCAGCTTGATAGTATGCTTCACATTGATCAATATCAGATTGAGAAGTTGTTTTTTTCTGTAATATTTCTTCATATTTTTCCTATAATAAATTAAGATAAAGAGAACATTAAAGATTAGGAATAAAATTATAATGGAAGGAATTGGCCTAGAAGGACATTTTACAGTACCAAATCCTCCACTTATCAGAGCAGTGTTAGACAAATTGGCTATACTTAAACTTCCTATATGGCTTACAGAAGTTGATATCAGCAAGAATCTTGATAAAGAAATTCAGATCAGGGTACTTCACCTACAATAACAATAAAATCGGTTCAAAAGCTTTTTTTACTTTCTTAAACTACATGTCAAATCAAAACCAGACAAACACATTGATACAGAGGAAGTATTATTAATGATTTGATGATAATAGTTTTTTGTGAATATGATGACAGGCTAAATATGTAGAGATGGTTTTGAGAGAGGGATTTTCACATCCAGGTGTAAATGGAATCATGCTTTGGACAGGATTACATTCTAATGGACGTTATCAAATGTGTTTAACAGATACCAATTTTCATAACCTTCCTGCTGGGGACATAGTTGATAATTTGCTGAAAGAATGGAAAACTGGTGTGGTGCAAGGTGAAACTGATGAACATGGTTCATTTAGCTTTTCTGTTTTTTAGGTGAGTACAAAATCAATGTCAAATTTGGAGAACATAATAGCTAATTCAACATTCTCACTATGCAGAGGAGATGACACCAAGCACTTAAAGGAAATTACAACAAGAGAAAAAGTGAGATTCATAGATAAAAGTAAAAGACTTTCCCAAAGGAAGTATAACTATAAGCACCACTTACAATTATTCACAAACTTGATGTCATGAAAGATTACTACTGTTTCATAGGCTTTATCCGATCATCTTATACCACATTAGGCAGAAGGAGATAATTGCCATACAAGATGTTATCAACAAAGTCATTAAATCATAACATATTAGTTGGTAGGCAAGCTAACAAGGTAATACAATCAATTAACAAATTACTCCTAATTTCCTACCGAATTAAGCTGGAATTTATCTCAAAATGGAAGTCTCAAAACCTTACCATAAGCTAGTTAGAAGAATCAAAATCCAATCATACTACTATAAATAACTAGCTATTATACAACTTATGATCAAATTGTCCAACTAAAGAAGGAAAAACAAATATACGCATATCATATGCCATTTATAATCATATACCAATTTTGAACAAATCCATTAATCACTCAAATTATACCATAATTAAGCCATTTTCTAATAATAATCAGCTAGTTACTCCAATTATTTTCCAAAATCAAACATATCAATTAACAAAAAAAATCAATGATTAAATTATGCGTACAAATTATTTCTAATTTGAATAAGGAACAAGTTGATTAACAAAAAGGGATTTAAAGCGGACCATCGCCAAAATGAATGAATAGATAGAAATAATCAGTTAAGCATATGAGTAACAAGATAACAGTAAGCAGTCTTAAACAAATAAATTAAACTTTAACAGAAAAGTATATAAACAAGTAAGCGTTAATAGAATGACATTAAAGGGACCTACCTAGATGGATCCTTAGCTTAATTTAGAAAATTTACCGGAGCTTTTAACTTGTTTCTTCGTATTCATAGCTGTTGGCCGGAGCTTTAATGCTCTTGCCGTTATCCTCCTCAAACTCGCATGGAGTCGTTGTTGCTGGCCGGAAAAGAGAGAAGGCGGAGGTAGCGACTGCTGTTCGTTTGGAACTGCGTCGTTATCTTCTCCTGGGTGTCGCCGGCGTTTGCTGATGTTGCTCGCTGGAGCTGGCTGTTATCGGTGCTCACCATTTCTGCTTGCTGCGTGAAACTGATATTGCTGTCGTTTTTTGCCGGAGAGAGAGGAAACTGGTGGCATAATCTCTGTGTTGCTGCTGTTGCCGGACGGAGACCGCCTGGTTGCTCATCGTTTGGAGCTGCTGCCAGCGATGGAGGTTCACTGGTGGTCTTCGCGCGCCTGCCGGAGGTCTCCATTGTTGTTCGCTGCTCGTTCTCCAGGCTGCACTGACCAGAAAGAAGGACGGAGAGGAGGGCAAAAGGGTTCTGGGCGGCGGATTTGGAGAGGAGAGGAGGAGAATGAAAAAAATTAAGGGTTTGGGGTCTTTTGTATAAAATAAGAAAGCAAGGGTCTTAAATTAGGACCATTGATCAAATTCGGATGAGCGGATGAGATTGTCTCTTGGAGTTTGATGAATCATGATGGACGGATGAGATTAAATGAGAGTAATTAAAATCTGAAATTGGAGTTTGCAACGGACTTAGTGACGGATTCTAACATCCGTTGCTTTCAAATAAATATATATATTTAAGAAAAAATTATATTGACGGATATTTTCGTCACTATATAATATAATTTTTATAAAAATATATTTAATAGTTTAGCAACCTTTTTTTGGTCACTAATTCCGTTGCCCAATATTAATTAAATTTGTCACCACTACTTTGTTGCTAAATCCGTAAGGAAAATTAGGCGCCAAATTTTCACGCTAATAATTAGCGACGGATTAAATATTCCGTTGCAAATCTGTTGCTATATTATAAATCAAAAATAATTTGTTAATTTTGTAACAAAATGGTTATTCCGTCGCAAATCTGTCGTTATATAGTGACGGAATATTGTTCGTCGCTAATATCCGTCGCTAAACACTGTTTTTTTAGTAGTGTTTCCTTAGTATCTTTTCATTTTTGGTTAATTCTTTTTCAGTTATATCTTTTTGACCAGTGTGTATCATCTATTGCTTCTGTGAAGTCAAGGAAATATGTTTAGATTTGTAAAAGAAATCTTTATATTTGTAATTATAGACCGTTGCTTGAATGTGATCTGACACCAAAGTGTAAGTGAATAAAAATAGTTTTGCAGTTTTGTCGCTGAATAACTATCTGCATTTTAATTTTTTTGCTTTGATCACATGTAAAATGCAATTAGTTATTCATCGAAACGCCATTTTGATATTATTTTCATAAAAGAAATAAATTGAAAATAGTTATTTATATCAAATAGTTGTTAAATAATAAATTTTAATTTTTTTCCTTTGATCACATGCCGTGGCCGACATAGAAATTGATATAAATATTTTCTAATAAAAAACTTAATATTTTAAGTCATAAATTTAATATATATATCAATTACTATAATTAGATAAAATAAAATAAAACATAGTATTTTGAAAGATACATGTCATGTACTTATAGCCCACGTAAGACGAAAGGGCTAGAAAATTACTTATAAAATAAGTTTGGGGAGGGAGGGGGTAATAGGACCTTAGTATAATATAAGTGTGTTTCTGAGATTTCGGGCATAGATTGGGGTACTTATGCATTTTCCCTTTATAATATTATACATAATATGATAAAACATTGAAAATGTAATCTAAATCAGGTAGGCAATCCCGCAAATATTGTTACGTATAATCTGATATTATCCATTGCAATACGCAATCATTTATTTTGTATATATATAATATTGGAGTCCCAAATTATTAACATTTTGAAGTATATGTTAAAATTTATAAATGAAGACTTTAATTTGATACTTATCGTACTAAATACGTCATAATATTTGTATGACTATTATATTATCAGAAATGTGGTGGTTTGTGCATGTACATCGTCCTATCCTCTTTAGATGTTATTTGTGGATTACATTGAGTAATTTATTATTGTTATTGTTGGAGTTGAGATATTTAGTTAGTTGTTTGTCTGAACTCGTGATCTATAATCAACTAGTAAATGTATTTATAGGGGCTGGATTCCATATGTTTTCTCAGCAAAAGCCACATCAAGAATTAATATATTAGCTTATCTATATACCAAACTTTTGTTGAAATGGCTATGTATGATATTGCCTTTTCTTCAAACCACAGCCAAATTAATGGAATCGAAGAAGAAGAAGTAGTTGTAGTGATGATACCTTTTTTATTACAAGGTCATCTCAATCAACTCCTCAATATCTCTCGAGTAATTTCTTCCTACAATTTACCAATCTATTATCTTTCCTACGCTGACAAAATTAAGCAAGTTAAAAATCGTGTTTATGGTTGGGACCCTCTAACCACTTGCAACATCTATTTCCATGAATTCCCAAATCCACCATCTGGTGAACAATATTCTTCAAATAAATCTTTGTCCGAAAGGGAGTCACAAAAATTCATACTACCCCTCCTTGAAGAAACCCTTATGTTGCGCGAGCCTGTGGGGGCATTCTTACAAGAGGTTTCCAAAAAAACACGCAAGGTAGTAGTCATTTATGACTCTATGATGGCTAGTGTTGTTGAAGACGTTGCTTCTATACCAAATGCAGAGGCCTATTGTTTCAACTCCTCGTCTGCTTTTATGATAAGTTCCATGTATGTGGAAGAGGAACTAATACGACTCCATCTCCCCTTGTTTATTGGCAAATTTGCCGCGAGAGTTCTACTCCCAAGTGGATTTGAATTTCCCAATAATCTTCCGTCCTATCAAAGTAGTTTCATACCCGAGTTTATGGACTTTAGTATAAGGCAAGACTTGTATAAAAAATTCTGCTCTGGAAACCTTTACTACACATGCAAGGCGATTGAGGGGCCTTATATCGATGTTCTTGCAAGGTTCAATAGGTTACTAAGAAGAAGCCCTAAGCAATGGGCTATAGGTCCATTACTTTCAATCGCGACCATAAATGATGATCAAAACAACATTAATCGTCATGGGTGTTTGAAATGGCTAGACAAACAAGAACCAAACTCTGTAATATTAGTGTCATTTGGAACAACAACTTCCTTATCCACAGAGCAAATCAAAGAGCTCGCTATAGGGTTGGAAAAGAGTCAACACAAGTTCATTTGGATAGTGAGTGATGTGTTGTTAAAAGAAGGCGAACAAGTTCAAATTCCCAAAGGTTATGAAGAGAGAGTACAAGGAAGAGGGCTCGTGGTGAAGGACTGGGCACCCCAATTGGAAATCTTAGGGCACTCAGCAACAGGAGGTTTCTTGAGTCACTGCGGGTGGAATTCTGTACAAGAGTCTGTTACTATGGGAGTTCCATTAGCCACATGGCCTATGATTTTTGACCATCCAAGGATTGCAGTGCTTGTCACAAAGGTCCTCAAAATTGGCATCACAGTGAAGGATTGGGAACGACGTGATGAGTTAATTACATCCATAACTATTGAGATCGCGCTAAGAAAATTGATGGCTTCCCCAGAAGGAAATGAGGTGAGGAAGAATATGGTTGAATTAAGTAAAAAAGTGAGACAATCCATCACTCTTGGTGGGGATTCTAAGAGAGAGATGGATTCTTTCATTGCTTACATTACTAGATCAAGTTCAATTTGTAGGTGTGCTTGTTTCTGAAGACACTAAAATGTTCTAGTTTTTCTACTTTGCTTTACATGTTGTTTGGATGGTTCTTACCTATTGTATTGCATGTATACTATATCTTTTGTATTTAAATATAATATTTATTTTGATTGTTATTAAAATTTATTATATTGTTAAAATCCCCTATATATTCCTTAATGGTAAGAATGCTCATTTTATGTAATGATTAATTTGGTGGAACGTTCTCGTCCTTACCTTTTTTTCTCTTCTAATTATATTGTTAACTATTATATTACTTCCCATGGTTCAATTTGTGTCTTACTTTTATGTTTAGTTATTTTTAAAAAAAAATAAAAAATAAAAAAATACTATTTATAATCAGTAACTCCTTAATTGCAAGTCAAAAAGTCTTATTTATTTTTAAATTCTCTTTTTTTTTTTGTCAGACTAACACACATAAAATGAACGGCGGGAGAGTACTTAATATTATTTAGATGTATATTCATCTCTAATATATAGTTATACATTATCTATATACAATTATATATTATTTAAATAATATCGATACATTACAAGCATGCAGTCATTTTGTTGAAATAATTTGTGTTGACTATACATATTGGTATAGCTCGTTAGAAAACTTATTTCAAGAACTTCAAAAATCCCTAAAGATTCAAGTCGTGTATTTTTTTTTAATTGGATCGAGGGGAATTATAAGGGGGTCGACAATCAAACGCTCACTAATAAGATAAAAATTCTGACAGTGATTTCTTACCATTAAAATTCAATGTACTTATGTTGTTGTAATTGCAACCTACCCATTTTACATGTCTTCCTTTTATCATGGGTTTCTTGGTCAAACATGTGAATATTTTACTGATTTTTTGTAATTTCAAATTCTTTGCTCGTTTAAATTAGTTTATAAATATATTATTATTTCTTTAATCTGTGTTAGTTCTTTGCATATGAAGCAATTTTGATTACCTTTTTGGTCAATTGTTTGTTCTTAATTATTATTTCATTCGTTTTAATTTATTTATCCTAAAAAATTTAAAAATTTACTTTTAAAAAAAACATTTCATTTTGTTAATAACTTTTTAAGTTCAACTTTTCACATATCATCTTTAAGATTATAATATTAAAGGACATTTTAGTACATTTGATAAATCTTTTTATTTAAAACTACTAGATTCAATTTTTTTTTTTTGAATCTAGTAGTTTTAAATAAAAAGCCTTCAAGTTAAAGCCTTTATATCAAACGGGACTAGGTGGGAAATCAATAAAAAATAAAAAATTAAGCCTCTAAGATAAGTTTTTTTTGTTTGCTATCCAATGTCCGGAGCCCACATTAGAGCTCCTGCTTGATTTGGATCGCGCTCTATTGTGTTCATTATGGAATGGCGCTCCTAACATGATTTTCTCTATATCTAGGGCACAAACTTAAGACACTGGTTAAGGGTGAAATAGTCTCACCACTATACCACAACCCATATTGGTAGGTAAGTTAATTTTCACTATATATAAACATAGGACTAGTGGTGGATCGATGTTATCATGGAACACTTATTATGCTTAAAAAATCATATTTGTCAATTTCACTATTTTCCCCTTTGTTCATATTATCCTCTTGAAAAAAAAGAAAGAAATTGCGGATCTTCAAAATTTGTTTAAACTTCCAAAGATCATATTAATTGTAGAAGTAAAATAGGGAAAAAAAAACAATTAATTCTATCCTAATTTAGTAAGTCATCAATTAATTTATGATAAATATTTTTAGTAAAATGTCCATCTAAAACGAGACAGAGAAAGTACGAACTAATTGATTAATTCAACAACAAGCACGCTGCTAATCAAGATTGTTTTTATGTTTCCCACTCGATATCTCTATTGGATTGACCGCTTGAGCCTTACAAAAATAGTTCCTACTTTGTCTGCCTCGACTTTCTCAGTCACAATCAAAGGTAGAACTGTCCATTCTAATATTATATATATATTAGTTAACCTAAAGCGTGCTCATTCCATAGTTTAGACGTCTGATTTTTAAAAATAAATAAAAGTAAGTTCATTTGTAAATATCCTTTGAGCAACCCTATGATATTTAAAAAGATCCTTAATTTTCAAGTTAATTAGTTTTGTAATTTAAATATAACCGTAGCTAATAGTTTTTTATTTATAATAGGGAAAATGCATAAGTAGCCCCCAACCTATGCCCGAAATCCCAAACACACACTTATACTATACTAAGGTCCTATTACTCTCCGAACTTATTTAATAAATAATTTTCGACCCCTTTTCGGCCTACGTGGCACTATCAACCAAATATCTTGAAAAAATTGTCAACACGCGCTAGGTCTAGAAGATAGTGCCACGTAGGCCGAAAAGGGGTAAAAAATTACTTATAAAATAAATTTGGGATGGGGGATGGGAGTGGAGGGGTAATAGGACCTTAGTATAATATAAGTGTGTAGATTTTGGGCATCTGTTAGGGGTACTTATGCATTTTCCCTTTATAATATTATATATAATAAAATATGATAAAACATTGAAAATGTAATCTAAAACAGGTAGGCAATCCCGCAAATATTGTTACGTATAATCTGATATTATCCATTGCAATACGCAATCATTTATTTTGTATATATATAATATTGGAGTCCCAAATTATTAACATTTTGAAGTATATGTTAAAATTTATAAATGAAGACTTTAATTTGATACTTATCGTACTAAATACATCATAATATTTGTATGGCTATTATATTATCAGAAAGGTGGAGGTTTGTGCATGTAACATCGTCCTATACTCTTTAGATATTATTTGTGGATTACACTGAGTAAGTTATTATTATTATTGTTGTTGTTATTGAGATATTTAGTTAGTTGTTTGTCTGAACTCGTGATCTATAATCAACTAGTAAATGTATTTATAGGGGCTGGATTCCATATGTTTTCTCAGCAAAAGCCACATCAAGAATTAATATATTAGCTTATCTATATACCAAACTTTTGTTGAAATGGCTATGTATGATATTGCCTTTTCTTCAAACCACAGCCAAATTAATGGAATCGAAGAAGAAGAAGTAGTTGTAGTGATGATACCTTTTTTATTACAAGGTCATCTCAATCAACTCCTCAATATCTCTCGAGTAATTTCTTCCTACAATTTACCAATCTATTATCTTTCCTACGCTGACAAAATTAAGCAAGTTAAAAATCGTGTTTATGGTTGGGACCCTCTAACCACTTGCAACATCTATTTCCATGAATTCCCAAATCCACCATCTGGTGAACAATATTCTTCAAATAAATCTTTGTCCGAAAGGGAGTCACAAAAATTCATACTACCCCTCCTTGAAGAAACCCTTATGTTGCGCGAGCCTGTGGGGGCATTCTTACAAGAGGTTTCCAAAAAAACACGCAAGGTAGTAGTCATTTATGACTCTATGATGGCTAGTGTTGTTGAAGACGTTGCTTCTATACCAAATGCAGAGGCCTATTGTTTCAACTCCTCGTCTGCTTTTTTGATAAGTTCCATGTATGTGGAAGAGGAACTAATACGACTCCATCTCCCCTTGTTTATTGGCAAATTTGCCGCGAGAGTTCTACTCCCAAGTGGATTTGAATTTCCCAATAATCTTCCGTCCTATCAAAGTAGTTTCATACCCGAGTTTATGGACTTTAGTATAAGGCAAGACTTGTATAAAAAATTCTGCTCTGGAAACCTTTACTACACATGCAAGGCGATTGAGGGGCCTTATATCGATGTTCTTGCAAGGTTTAATAGGTTACTAAGAAGAAGCCCTAAGCAATGGGATATAGGTCCATTACTTCCAATCGCGACCATTAATGATGATCAAAACAACATCAATCGTCATGGGTGTTTGAAATGGCTAGACAAACAAGAACCAAACTCTGTAATATTAGTGTCATTTGGAACAACAACTTCCTTATCCACAGAGCAAATCAAAGAGCTCGCTATAGGGTTGGAAAAGAGTCAACACAAGTTCATTTGGATAGTGAGTGATGTGTTGTTAAAAGAAGGCGAACAAGTTCAAATTCCCAAAGGTTATGAAGAGAGAGTACAAGGAAGAGGGCTCGTGGTGAAGGATTGGGCACCCCAATTGGAAATCTTAGGGCACTCAGCAACAGGAGGTTTCTTGAGTCACTGCGGGTGGAATTCTGTACTAGAGTCTGTTACCATGGGAGTTCCATTAGCCACATGGCCTATGATTTTTGACCATCCAAGGATTGCAGTGCTTGTCACAAAGGTCCTCAAAATTGGCATCACAGTGAAGGATTGGGAACGACGTGATGAGTTAATTACATCCATAACTATTGAGATCGCGCTAAGAAAATTGATGGCTTCCCCAGAAGGAAATGAGGTGAGGAAGAATATGGTTGAATTAAGTAAAAAAGTGAGACAATCCATCACTCTTGGTGGGGATTCTAAGAGAGAGATGGATTCTTTCATTGCTCACATTACTAGATCAAGTTCAATTTGTAGGTGTGCTTGTTTATGAAGACACTAAAATGTTCTAGTTTTTCTACTTTGCTTTACATGTTGTTTGGATGGTTCTTACCTATTGTATTGCATGTATACTATATCTTTTGTATTTAAATATAATATTTATTTTGATTGTTATTAAAATTTATTATATTGGTAAATCCCCTATTCCTTAATGATAAGAATGCTCATTTTATGTAATAATGTACACTATATCTTTTGTATTTAAATATTATATTTATTTTGATTGTTATTAAAGGGAAAATGCACAAGTACCACCCCAGCCTATGCCCGAAATCCCTGAGACACACCTAACCTTTACTAAGGTCCTATTACCCCCCTGAACTTATTTTTTTATTAATTTTCTACCCCTTTTTGGCCTACGTGGCACCATCCTTGAAAAAAATGTCAACACGCGTTGGGCCCACAAGATAGTGTCACGTAGGCTTAAAAGGGGTAAAAAATTATATATAAAATAAGTTCGGGGGGTAATAGGACCTTAGTAAAGGTTAGGTGTGTCTCAGAGATTTTGGGTATAGGCTAGGGGGTACTTATGCATTTTCCATTTATTATATTGTTAAATCCCCTATTCCTTCATGATAAGAATGCTCATTTTATGTAATAATTAATTTGTTGGAGCGTTCTCGTCCTTACCTTTTTTTCTCTTCTAATTATATTGTTAACTATTATATTATTTACCATGGTTCAATTTGTGTCTTACTTTTATGTTTAGTTATTTTTTTTTAAAAAAATAAAAAATAATCACTATTTATAATCAGTAACTCCTTAATTGCAAGTTAAAAAGTCTTATTTATTTTTAAATTCTCCTTTTTTTTTGTCAAACTAACACACATAAAATGAACGGCCGGAGAGTACTTAGTATTATTTAGATGTATATTCATCTCTAATACATAGCTATACATTATCTATATACAATTATATATTATTTAAATAATATCGATACATTACAAACATACAATCATTTTGTTGAAAATAATTTGTGTTGACTATACATATTGGTATAACTCGTTAGAAAACTTATTTCAAGAACTTCAAAAATCCCTAAAGATTCAAGTCGTGTATTTTTTTTAATTGGATAGAGGGGAATTATAAGGGGATCGAAAATCAAACGCTCACTAATAAGATGAAAATTCTGACAGTGATTTCTTACCATTAAAATTCAATGTACTTATGTTGTTGTAATTGCAACCTACCCATTTTACATGTCTTCCTTTTGTCATGGGTTTCATGGTCAAACATGTGAATATTTTACTGATTTTTTGTTATTTCTAATTTTTTGCTCGTTTAAATTAGTTTGTAAATATATTATTATTTCTTTAATCTGTGTTAGTTCTTTGCATATGAATCAATTTTGATTACCTTTTTGGTCAATTGTTTGTTCTTAATTATTATTTCATTCGTTTTAATTTATTTATCCTAAAAAAATTTAAAAATTTACTTTAAAAAAAACATTTCATTTTTTTAATAACTTTTTAAGTTCAAATTTTCACATGTCATCTTTAAGATTATAATATTAAAGGACATTTTAATACATTTGATAAAATCTTTTTATTTAAAACTACTAGATTCAATTTATTTTTTTGAATTTAGTCGTTTTAAATAAGAAGTCTTCAAGCTAAAGCCTTTATATCAAACGGGACTAGGTGGGAAATCAATAAAAAATAAAAAATTAAGCCTCTAAGATAAGTTTTTTTTTTGTTTTCTATCTAATGTCCGGAGCCCACATTAGAGCTCTGGCTTGATTTGGATCGCGCTCTGTTGGGTTTATTCTGGAATGGCGCTCCTAACATGATTTTTCTCTATATCTAGGGCACGAACTCAAGACCTTTGGTTAAGGGTGAAATAGTCTCACCACTATACGACAACCCATATTGGTAGGTGAGTTAATTTTCAATATATATAAACATAGGACTAGTGGTGGATCGATGTTATTATGGAACACTTATTATTCTTAAAAAATCATATTTGTCAATTTTACTATTTTCCCCTTTGTTCATATTATCCTTTTGAAAAAAAAGAAAGAAATTACGGATCTTCAAAATTTGTTTAAACTTCCAAAGACCATATTAGTTGTAGAAGTAAAATAGGAAAAAAAAAACAATTAATTCTATCCTAATTTAGTAAGTCATCAATTAATTTATGATAAATATATTTAGTAAAATGTCCATCTAAAACGAGCTAGAGAAAGTATGAACTAATTGATTAATTCAACAACAAGCATGCTGTTAATCAAGATTGTTTTTATGTTTCCCACTCGATATCTCTATTGGATTGACCGCTTGAGCCTTACAAAAGTAGTTCCTACTTTGTCTGCCTCGACTTTCTCAGTCACAACCAAAGGTAGAACTGTCCATTCTAATATTATATATATATTAGTTAACCTAAAGCGTGCTCATTCCATAGTTTAGACGTCTGATTTTTAAAAATAAATAAAAGTAAGTTCATTTGTAAATATCCTTTGAGCAACCCTATGATATTTAAAAAGATCTATCTCCCCCCCCCCCCACCCCCACCCCAAACTTATTTTATACGTAATTTTCTACCCCTTTTCGGCCTACGTGGCACTATCAACCAAATATCTTGAAAAAATTGTCAACACGCGCTAGGTCCAGAAGATAGTGCCACGTAGGCCGAAAAGGGGTAGAAAATTACGTATAAAATAAGTTTGGGGTGGGGGTGGGGGGGGGGGGTAATAGAACCTTAGTATAATATAAGTGTGTCTTTGAGATTTCAGGCATAGGTTGGGGTATTTATGCATTTTCCCTTTATAATATAATATATAATATAATATGATAAAACGTTGAAAATGTAATCAAAAACAGGTAGCCAATCCCGCAAATATTGTTACGTATAATATGATATTGTCCATTGCAATAAACAATCATTTATTTTGTATATATATAATATTGGAGTCCCAAATTATTAACATTTTGAAGTATATGTTAAAATTTATAAATGAAGACTTTAATTTGGTACTTATCGTACTAAATACGTCATAATATTTATATAACTATTATATTATCAGAAAGGTGGAGGTTTGTGCATGTACATCGTCCTATCCTCTTTAGATGTTATTTGTGGATTACATTGAGTAATTTATTATTGTTATTGTTGGAGTTGAGATATTTAGTTAGTTGTTTGTCTGAACTCGTGATCTATAATCAATTAGTAAATGTATTTATAGGGGCCGGATTCCATATGTTTTCTCAGCAAAAGCCACATCAAGAATTAATATATTAGCTTATCTATATACCAAACTTTTGTTGAAATGGCTATGTATGATATTGCCTTTTCTTCAAACCACAGCCAAATTAATGGAATCGAAGAAAAAGAAGAAGTAGTTGTAGTGATAATACCTTTTTTATTACAAGGACATCTAAATCAACTCCTCAATATCTCTCGAGTAATTTCTTCCTACAATTTAACAATTTATTATCTTTCCTACGCTGACAAAATTAAGCAAGTTAAAAATCGTGTTTATGGTTGGGACCCTCTAACAACTTGCAACATCTATTTCCATGAATTCCCAAATCCACCATCCGGTGAACAATATTCTTCAAATAAATCTTTGTCCGAAAGGGAGTCACAAAAATTCATACTACCCCTCCTTGAAGAAACCCTTATGTTGCGCGAGCCTGTGGGGGCATTCTTACAAGAGGTTTCCAAAAAAACACGCAAGGTAGTAGTCATTTATGTCTCTATGATGGCTAGTGTTGTTGAAGACGTTGCTTCTATACCAAATGCAGAGGCCTATTGTTTCAACTCCTCGTCTGCTTTTTTGATAAGTTCCATGTATGTGGAAGAGGAACTAATACGACTCCATCTCCTCTTGTTTATTGGCAAATTTGCCGCGAGAGTTCTACTCCCAAGTGGATTTGAATTTCCCAAAAATCTTCTGTCCTATCAAAGTAGTTTCATACCCGAGTTTATGGACTTTAGTATAAGGCAAGACTTGTATAAAAAATTCTGCTCTGGAAACCTTTACTACACATGCAAGGCGATTGAGGGGCCTTATATCGATGTTCTTGCAAGGTTCAATAGGTTACTAAGAAGAAGCCCTAAGCAATGGGCTATAGGTCCATTACTTTCAATCGCGACCATAAATGATGATCAAAACAACATTAATCGTCATGGGTGTTTGAAATGGCTAGACAAACAAGAACCAAACTCTGTAATATTAGTGTCATTTGGAACAACAACTTCCTTATCCACAGAGCAAATCAAAGAGCTCGCTATAGGGTTGGAAAAGAGTCAACACAAGTTCATTTGGATAGTGAGTGATGTGTTGTTAAAAGAAGGCGAACAAGTTCAAATTCCCAAAGGTTATGAAGAGAGAGTACAAGGAAGATGACTCGTGGTGAAGGATTGGGCACCCAAATTAGATATCTTAGGGCACTCAGCAACAGGAGGTTTCTTGAGTCACTGCGGGTGGAATTCTGTACTAGAGTCTGTTACCATGGGAGTTCCATTAGCCACATGGCCTATGATTTTTGACCATCCAAGGATTGCAGTGCTTGTCACAAAGGTCCTCAAAATTGGCATCACAGTGAAGGATTGGGAACGACGTGATGAGTTAATTACATCCATAACTATTGAGATCGCGCTAAGAAAATTGATGGCTTCCCCAGAAGGAAATGAGGTGAGGAAGAATATGGTTGAATTAAGTAAAAAAGTGAGACAATCCATCACTCTTGGTGGGGATTCTAAGAGAGAGATGGATTCTTTCATTGCTCACATTACTAGATCAAGTTCAATTTGTAGGTGTGCTTGTTTCTGAAGACACTAAAATGTTCTAGTTTTTCTACTTTGCTTTACATGTTGTTTGGATGGTTCTTACCTATTGTATTGCATGTATACTATATCTTTTGTATTTAAATATAATATTTATTTTGATTGTTATTAAAATTTATTATATTGTTAAAATCCCCTATATATTCCTTAATGGTGAGAATGCTCATTTTATGTAATGATTAATTTGGTGGAACGTTCTCGTCCTTACCTTTTTTTCTCTTCTAATTATATTGTTAACTATTATATTACTTCCAATGGTTCAATTTGTGTCTTACTTTTATGTTTAGTCAGTTTTTTTTTTAAAAAAAAAAAATCGCTATTTATAAACAGTAACTTATTAGTTGCAAGTTAAAAAGTTTTATTTATTTTTAAATTCTCTTTTTTTTTTGTCAAACTAACACACAATAAATGAACGGACAGAGAGTACTTGATATTATTTAGATGTATATTCATCTCTAATACATAGTTATACATTTTCTATATACAATTATATATTATTTAAATAATATCGATACATTATAAACATGCAGTCATTTTGTTGAAAATAATTTGTGTTGACTATACATATTGGTATAACTCGTTAGAAAACTTATTTCAAGAACTTCAAAAATTCCTAAAAATTCAAGTCATGTATTTTTTTTTAATTGGATCGAGGGGAGTTATAAGGGGGTCGAAAATCAAATGCTCACTAAAGAGATGAAAATTCTGACAATGATTACTTACCATTAAAATTCAATGTACTTATGTTGTTGTAATTGCAATCTACCCATTTTACATGTCTTCCTTTTATCATGGGTTTCTTGGTCAAACATGTGAATATTTTACTGATTTTTTGTGTCTTCAAATTTTTTACTCTTTTAAATTAGTTTATAAATAAATCATTAGTCATTATTTCTTTAATCTGTGTTAGTTCTTTGCATATGAAGCAATTTTGATTACCTTTTTGGTCAATTGTTGGTTCTTAATTATTATTTCATTCGTTTTAATTTATTTATCCTAAAAAAATTTAAAAATTTACTTTAAAAAAAACATTTCATTTTTTTAATAACTTTTTAAGTTCAAATTTTCACATGTCATCTTTAAGATTATAATATTAAAGGACATTTTAATACATTTGATAAATCTTTTTATTTAAAACTACTAGATTCAATTTATTTTTTTGAATTTAGTAGTTTTAAATAAGAAGTCTTCAAGCTAAAGCCTTTATATCAAACGGGACTAGGTGGGAGACCAATAAAAAATAAAAAATTAAGCCTGTAAGATAAGTTTTTTTTTTTGTTTTCTACCCAATGTCTAGAACCCACATTAGAGCTCCGGCTTGATTTGGATCGCGCTCTGTTGGGTTCATTCTGGGATGGTGTTTCTAACATGATTTTCTCTATATCTAGGGCTCGAACTCAAGACCTTTGGTTAAGGGCGAAATAGTCTCACCACTATACCACAACCCATATTGGGTAGGTAAGTTAATTTTCACTATATATAAACATAGGACTAATGGTGGATCGATATTATCATGGAACACTTATTATGCTTAAAAAATCATATTTGTCAATTTTACTATTTTCCCCTTTGTTCATATTATCCTATTGAAAAAAAAAAAAGAAATTGTGGATCTTCAAAATTTGTTTAAACTTCCGAAGACCATATTAGTTGTAGAAGTAAAATAGGAAAAAAAAACAATTAATTCTATCCTAATTTAGTAAGTCATCAATTAATTTAGGGAAAATGCATAAGTATCCCCCCAGCCTATGCCCAAAATCTCTGAGACACACCTAACCTTTACTAAGGTCCTATTACCCCCTCGAACGTATTTTTTAATTAGTTTTTAACCACTTTTCGACTTACGTGGCAATATAAACCAGATAGGTTGAAAGCTTTGTTCAACACGCGCTGGGCCTAGCTTTTTCAACTTTCTAAAAAGTAAGCTATCAATTCAAAAGTAGCTTTTACACTTCCCAAAAATTCAAAAAGCTATCATTTTATGTTTTAGATAAAAATATTATTTATAATCTACTTTGTTAATATATTTTTAGTTAGTTTATAGATTTCAATGTTTATAATTTTATTTCAAATTTGGGCTTGTAAAATTTTGTAATTATTATATATATAATTTTATTTTATTTATAGATAAAAAAAATATTACTTATAATCTACTTTGTTAATATATTTTAGCTAGTTTATAGTTTTCAATGTTTATATATTTTATTTCAAATTTGGGCTTGTAAAATTTTGTAAATATTATATATATAATTTTATTTTATTTATAGATAAAAAAAATATTACTTATAATCTACTTTGTTAATATATTTTAGCTAGTTTATAGTTTTCAATGTTTATATATTTTATTTCAAATTTGGGCTTGTAAAATTTTGTAAATATTATTCATATAATTTTATTTTATTTATAGATAAAAAAAATATTACTTATAATCTACTTTGTTAATATATTTTAGCTAGTTTATAGTTTTCAATGTTTATATATTTTATTTCAAATTTGGGCTTGTAAAATTTTGTAAATATTATTCATATAATTTTATTTTATTTATAGATAAAAAAAATATTACTTATAATCTACTTTGTTAATATATTTTAGCTAGTTTATAGTTTTCAATGTTTATATATTTTATTTCAAATTTGGGCTTGTAAAATTTTGTAAATATTATTCATATAATTTTATTTTATTTATAGATAAAAAAAATATTACTTATAATCTACTTTGTTAATATATTTTAGCTAGTTTATAGTTTTCAATGTTTATATATTTTATTTCAAATTTGGGCTTGTAAAATTTTGTAAATATTATTCATATAATTTTATTTTATTTATAGATAAAAAATATTATTTATAATCTACTTTGTTAATATATTTTAGCTAGTTTATAGTTTTCAATGTTTATATATTTTATTTCAAATTTGGGCTTGTAAAATTTTGTAAATATTATTCATATAATTTTATTTTATTTATAGATAAAAAATATTATTTATAATCTACTTTGTTAATATATTTTAGCTAGTTTATAGTTTTCAATGTTTATATATTTTATTTCAAATTTGGGCTTGTAAAATTTGTAAATATTTTATTTTGTATTAAGATCCGAAGTTACAATCATATTGTTATAGTTTTCAAATTTGAAGTTAGCAATTTACTGTGTAAATATTTCGTTTTGTATTCAGTTTGACTGTATCCTTTAATCTTATTAATTTAACATAATGAACGTTGATATTTCCAAAAAAAATATTTTCTACTCATGTGAATTTTACCGTCTTTACGAAAATTTCTATTCATTTAACGTTTCTTAAGTTTAGCTTATCACACAGGTAGGTGAAAATATATTTGATCTCTTTTTCAAACACCGTTAAGTTGTAAAAAATTGAAAAAAACCAAAAAACCAAAAGATCTGACTAAAACCGAAACCGAAAAAACTGACTTTGCGTGGTTTGATTTGGTATTTAGATTTAATAAACCGACATAATTGATATAGGTTTTTTTTAATGAAAAACCGAACCAAACCGACCTATGTACACCCCTACCTCTAAGTCATCAAGAATCGTGGTTGATTCAAAGGTTAGTTTTTTCTTGATTTTATTTTGTTAGCTTTTCGAAGAAAGGAGCAATTTAACTTGTGATAATGGAGATTTTTTTTTCCAAACATGAAGCAATAATAAAGAAGAAGACAATTGAGTTAATATTTATTTTTTTCAAGTTTATTTTAACACATGGCCAATTTTTATTGGTTAGTGCTGTCTAAAAACTGTACCCACGCGCCTAACATAGGTGAAGTCACGGACTCAGCCACGTAGGTCGAAAAGTGGTAAAAAATTAACTAAAAAATAAGTTCGGGGAGGTAATAGGACCTTAGTAAAGGTTAGGTGTGTTTCAAGGATTTTGGGCATAGACTGGGGGGGTACTTATGCATTTTCCCATTAATTTATAATAAATATTTTTAGTAAAATGTCCATCTAAAACGAGATAGAGAAAGTACGAACTAATTTGTTAATTCAACAACAAGCACGCTACTAATCAGGATTGTTTTTATGTTTCCCACTCAAGTATGAACTAATTGATTAATTCAACAACAAGCATGCTGTTAATCAAGATTGTTTTTATGTTTCCCACTCGATATCTCTATTGGATTGACCGCTTGAGCCTTACAAAAGTAGTTCCTACTTTGTCTGCCTCGACTTTCTCAGTCACAACCAAAGGTAGAACTGTTCATCCTTAATTTTCAAGTTAATTAGTTTTGTCATTTAAATATAACCGTAGCTAATAATTTTTTTATTTATAATAGGGAAAATGCATAAGTAGCCCCCAACCTATGCCCGAAATCCCAAAGACACACTTATACTATACTAAGTTCCTATTACTCTCTGAACATATTTAATAAATAATTTTCTACCCCATTTCGGCCTACGTGGCACTATCAACCAAATAGCTAGAAAAAATTGTCAGAATGTGCTGGGTCCAGAAGATAGTGCCACGTAAGCCGAAATAGGGGTAGAAAATTACTTATAAAATAAGTTTGGGGGGAGTGGGGGAGGGAGGGGGGTAATAGGACCTTAGT